AGCAGGTACACAGCCCACCGACCTTCATACACCAGAGCAGACCCACAGGCATGCAGGGAGAAGGGCAGGACTACCCCCAAGTGCCAAGCGAGGGCCAGGACCAGTGCAGCTGCCTGCCCAGGCTGTAGTGGGGTCTGACAAAGGGCACCTGCCAGGAGCCTCCGTTAGGAAACTGGGGAGCTTTGTTCCACTCCCTCATTCCAGCAAAAGCAACTCAGCATGGCTCAGAGGCACCTGGGCCTCTCTCCAAGCCTTGATAGAAGGGAAAGTGGGTCATAGACATAGAGGGGGTTCCTCTCTATTTTGTTGTTGAATTGAGAGAGCAGAAAATCTGCCCCTGTGAAGGGCAAACCCCGAATCAGACTATGGGACACTGCCATAGAGCAGGCCCCCAGGTATGGAAAGGACTGTGGACTGAGCCTGAGGGAGCCCATGTGGGAAGAGCCAGGGGCAGCACTCCTTGTTTGGCCCAGGGTAAGGACCCAGCTAGGCTGATACACTAGGTGCTGGGCCTGCACTCTGCCCTCCCAGATCTCATTGCCACATCCTCATTGCTCCTCCTTCCCCTTACAGGCTCAGGCAGTTCAGGGCACAGGGCAACCCACTGCAGGACCCAGGAGGGCAGGAAATAGAACAAGAATCTTGGGAGAGACTTCCCAGGGATAAAGATGGAGGCTTCTAGCCTCCATCTCATTCTCTTTCACTTCTGAGGACCCCCATGGCTACCAAGCAGTGCCCCCAGCCATGTGACCAGTCTTGTCTTAAAGCATACTGCCTGAGATTATAGCATTCTCAATACCAACCTGTTTCCACTCCTAGAGCAGCCCACACACCACAGGCACATACCTTCATGTGCAGGAGCCTAAGACCGCTGACAGGGCCTCGCTGGAGGACCAGCTCTCAGGGCAAGGCCACCCAATTTAGGGCCTGGGAGAGGATGGGACCTGCAGGGCCTGCCTGGGGGAATTGTGAGGCAAAAAGGGAAGGGGGAGGGGTGCAGGGACCTCCTGAGTATCCCTAGAGCAGCATCCCACAAGAAACAGAAACTGATGAAGCTAGCAAGACAGAAAAGCCACAAGGAATCCATGCAGGGGCTGGGGCTGGTCCTGCCTCTGGCCTGCCCACCACTCACACACATACACACAGGAGATGAAACTGCTCTCCTGTGGCCCCCAGACATGCCCCATGCTGGGAGGCAGGGGCAGGGGAGAGCGAGGGCATCATGCCAGTGACTCTCTGTACAGTGAGAAGCCCCTCATCCACTCTCCCACCCTCCTGCCCATCCCCCGCCCCCCCACAGCCTGCCCACTCAGCTGGTCTCCTCCCTCCGAGACTCCTGGGCAGAGCCAGCAGCCTCTCCCCCTTTACTAGAGGGTGGAGCCTGGCCTGTTGTGCCCCCTGGGGCTGTGCTGTCCTGCTGGGCCAAAGCCGGCTCAGGGGTGGCAGCAGCCTTGGTGGCCAGTGTGGCACTGCTTTGGGTAGTGGGCACGGTGCTCTCTTCCACGGCTGGTGTGGCTCTCCCATCAGTGGCTGGAGTAACACTTCTGTCAGTGGCTGGGGTGACACTCCCATCAGTGGCTGGGGTGATGCTCCCATCAGTGGCTGGGGTGATGCTCCCATCAGTGGCTGGAGTGGCACTGCCATCTGTGGCTGGGGTGGCACTACGGTCTGCAGGGGCTACATTATCATTCTTCGTAACATCACCCGCTGTGGCTGGGGTGGCACTGCCCCCAAGGGCTGGGGCAGCTCCACTTGCAGCTGTGGCCCCGCCTGCAGCCCCAGAGGTGGCAGTGTCTGTGGCTGGGGCAGACTGGGCTGCAGCCGTGCTGGACTGCTCCGGTGCCCTGAGCCGTTTCATGAGGGTGGTCACTCGGACAGCCTTCTGAAAGAAAGACAGTGGAGAGAGGCTCAGAGCGAGGCTTACAGAAGCTGGATCCATTCCTTTGCGAAGGCCAAACCCAGACCATTCCATCGTGCCCTGGCTGCCTCTGACCAACCCAGGGCCGGGGACCCAGCTGCTCAGCACACCTGCCTAAGGTAGTAGCAGTGGCTACAGCTACACCTGACGGTTGAAGAAAAGCCTGTATGTGGCTGCAGGGGTGTGATTTAGGCAAGAAACTGTGGTGCCAGAAGGAGCACTTGGGATCAAGCCAGGAAAGGGAGCCATCCAAGCCTTACCTTCCACTTAGCCCTGGCAAAGTTCTTTTCAATCTGAGCACAGACACCATCCTTGATGTTCTTATCAGAAGCAGCATTGCCAGAAATCCTGGAAAGGGTGCAAGTGCGTCTGGATCTGAGGGGGTATGGCCTTCATGGAGACTGTGCCCAACCCTTTCCTTGTAAGAACCAAGGATTACCAGGCAGACCCTCTGGGTTGGCCTGAGCTCTGGGTGCCCCCTGAACCCCAATTTGAGGCCTCAAGGATAGAGGCTGCTAGGTGTGAGGAGGACAGAGGCCAAGGGACCCCGGGCCTCTCCTCCCATCCTCCCTGGGCCCTGCTCACCACTCGTGGGAAATGGCCTCTTCCGCGGTGATCCGCTGGTCTTGCTCCACCTCCATCAGCCTTGTGACCAGGTCTTTGGCTAGGGACAAAGCCAGGGAGAGGCTAAGCTTGGGCAACCCATTTCACTGTCTAGAGGTGATGAATGGGCTCGGGGATAGGATCAGAGTCCAACAGAGAAGGCTGAGAGCAGTCCCCCACGCCAACCCTTCACTCTGCCCTTATGCTGGGCACCTCCTCACCCGCCTGCGAAATGTCATCCCAGTATGGAGAGTCAAACTCATAGTCGCCAGCCAGGATCTTGCGGAAGAGATTCTTGTCGTGGTTCTCATAGTCATCTTCCTCTACCTCCTCATAGAAAGGTGGATTCCCTGAAAGCCTGCGCAGGGGTCCAAGGACAGGGTCACTCAGGAAGGCCATGGACACAGACCCCCCCACCCCACCTGGCTGCCAGGCTGTTTGCCGGCTTATCCACTCACAGGATGTACATGATGACTCCAATGGCCCAGCAGTCCACAGGGCGTCCATACCGCTGCCGGCCTACCACCTCTGGGGCTGCAAACAGTGTCCACCTGCTGGTCAATATCAGGCCTGGCCAGGCCTTGTACCGCTCACACCCATTTGCTGGGATAGGGACTTCCTTCCCACCCCTACC